CCCCTAAAGGGTGTTTTTTTTTTGTTGGAGATTTTGTCAGGTTTTGGTCTCTTCTAGGTACAAATTTGTCCCCAAAATATAGTTTAGTTGGTAGGGATACACACACACACACACACACACACACACAGAATTTTTCTTTGCATTTTTTTATTTTTCTAGATTTTTTTTTTCTAGTCTAGCTTTCTAATTAACCTGGCATTGTATTTGTACACTATGAATATTGGTGGCTATGACGAATTGCTTTTGTACCTTTTTTTGTAACTGGCTTTGGATAAATGCATAAATGTAAGTGTTATTAATTAATTGTAAAATTTTATTAATTCCCCTTAGTTTATTTACAGATAAAATTGAGCTGACAGAAATTGTATGTTAACTCTTGTTTGATATGCTTCAAAAGTTCTGTTCATGTTATGAAATGTTACAAATAAACATTAAAGAACATTCATTTGTGAGGAAGGAAATTTTTAATAATATTATTGTAACATTTAAAAAATTTTCTAAAAGTGATAAGAAAACTGGCCATTTTTAGAATATTACAAATAAACGTTCAGACTCGGAGAATGACATTTTTTGGGTGAATATAAGGTTACGAGAATATAGTGCTGACATTATTGTAACATTTAAATTATATTGTTGTAATAACAAGAAAACAACATTTTAACCTTTTTAGAATATTGCAAATAAATGTTCAGAGAACGTTATATTTTGAGCACAAATACGGTTAGGAGAATGTTATACTTACTACATAGTAACCTTTAAATAACATTCTAACTCTATGTTTATAGTCTCATTGTGTTTAATAACAAACTTTCCAACTTGTAAATTTTAAATACTAGATTAAAGGAGTTGTCATAAACTTAGTAGTGGTGATGTTGAAGTCTTGTGGCTGTGATGTCATTTGTTTATTGCCTAACTATAGATTTTTTCTTCTGCTGATTGTATATAGGCTTCAAAAGTTTTGTTAATTTATGAAGATTATCTTAACAAAATGTGTAGTTGGGACATTTTATGCATGGTATTGAAAAACAAAAACAGTTTACAACACATTTAAGTAATTTCAGTAAGTGTTAGATTTCTTTTAACAGGCATTCATTATTCAAATGTTTTACTTTTCAGTCACAGTTACATCTCTGAAATGTTCTCCGCGGTCTCTGGTTCGCTCTCGCCGATCTGGGCATATTGGGCCATCACCGGTCATCGTATCACCTGACCCAGACCTCCTGATTCCCATTCGAACCTCACTACGCCGATATGTGGATGAGGAAGAAGAGCATCTCAAATTCTCCACACTTGTAAAACAGTATGTCAGCCTGGCATCTTTTCTTTTGTTTTTGCATAGTATAGATGTGAGAATTCAAAGATACTTAAAACTATTAGTAACACATTCCAATAAGCTTCAATTCATTAACATTAGTTAATGCATTATGATATTGTGAACATATGTTAAATACAATGTTAAAAATCATGTAGTATTTAAAGGTTTGGGGTTTGTAAAATTTAAATTGAAGGTTGCATTTAAAGAAAAATACAGTAAAACTGTAATATTGTAAAATATTATTACAATTTAAAATAACAGTTTAGAGTTTTGATAAAATTTCAAATGTAATTTATTCCTGTGATGGAAAAGCTTAATATTCAACATTACTCCACTTTTCAGTGTCACGTGATCCTTCAGACATCATTCTAATTTGCTGATTTGGTGCTCTAGATGCATTTCTTATTAACAATGTTGACAACGGTTGTTTTGTGCGAACTGTGATACATTGTTAGGATTCTTTCTTTCATGAGGAAGTTTAAAAGTCTTTACTGTCACTTTATAAATGATGGCAAAATGTTATTTTTTGGGAGGATATTTGCTAAGTGTCCCTCTCTCTGACAGGGAGTCCTTGGAAACATCCTCAGAGTCTACAGAGTCAGTGGGGTCATCCATTAGCAGAAAGTACAGCAGCCTTGATGTCCCTTCCCGGAGAAAATACATTTTCTCTGATAAAATGCCCCGAAAGATCTCTTTGGATGAACAAGAGGACAGTCCCTCACGCACTGAAGAAATGGATGAGTCTTTGATGGTGAACACCTCAAGGAAAGTATCGCGAGAGGAATTGGACATCAAAACTCTGTCAAGAAAGGCATCTATAGAGGAATCAGAGGCCTCCATGGACCCTCCAAGACAATTGACTAGAGGAGAAACTGAAGCTAGCTTTGATTCAAGAAAATTACCCAGGGATCTGCCTTTAGATTCCACAATGAGGTACTATTCTTTTGAAAAGATGTCCCCAATGGCGATCGGCATGGACAGTCAAAGACAGCGATCACTCAGAGACAGAAAAGATCACATGGACAGCATTTCTAGAGTTATACCAAAATCAGAGCTTGATTTAGATACCACGAGTGGAACTAGATATTCAGATGCCTTAATGAACACTTCCATTAAACACAAAGAAAACCTGGACTCTCCACCCAAAATCCAGCGAGGAAGAATAATTAGGGAAAATTCCTTTGATGCCACTTGTGACAGTTCAGTGGAAAGCTCCAAAAAATTCAAGATGTTAGGCAAAACCGATTTATCCAAAGACATACTTTCACGAATAATGCCGCAAGATAAACACGATGTGTCCACGGATTTCGAAAGACTAAAAAAAGGAGACATTGCCATGGACACTGCTTCAAGGAACACAATAAGAGATGAGTTTGAGAGAAGCAAGTCCTTTAAAGAGAACAGAGATTCCCGCATGGAAATTCCCTCAAAAAAACTCTCTGAACAAGAGTTTATGATGGCTACACAACGGATACAACGCAAGTTAGACGGCTCTGTGGAAACTCCCATTGGTAAAATACAGAGAGAGACTGTGGGTCTATCTGTGGAGTCTCCAAGGCGCAAGATATCACAGGAGGAATTTGTGGTTACAAACCCAGGACAGTTTGGTCCACCTGACCTCACCGCGAGCTCCTTGATGCTCTGGAAACCAGCCTCAGATTCGCTTAGCACCCTAGTGTACGACGGCATTCTAGAAAAGTCCTACGAGAACCCTCTCGTGGCTAGTTCTTGCGATCTCAGTCACGCAACTTCGATGTCTATCTCTTCTCAAAGCCTTCTGGAAAATGAAGGTCAGTCTGAAAATTCGTCTTCTTTGGAATCGGGGGGTAAAGACAAAGGCAAGATGTCTTCTAAGCTCAAGAATTTGTTCAAGAAGAAAAAGGATAAGGAGAAAGATAAAGACTAAGTTCACTTTTAAAAGGCCTGAGGTTCTTGTAAATCTGCCCTAGAAACTATAACATAAGCAAAGCTAACCATGCTGAATGAAGTGTCCTTGGATTTTCTTGAAAAGGGTTTTTCTTAAATATGGCTTGCAGGAAGAAATTGAATCTTAGCATTTTAAGTGGACCCTCAGCTAAATGGATGCAATCTTGTGAAACAAAGGAGCAGAATTGCTATTTTCCAGCTTGGATTTAGTGATACTATATTACAGAAGCTGTGTAAATGAGATATTAATTGAACATTTTTTCTTTCTTTCTTCATGCGGTTGTGTTCATCATTTGAAATAACTTGCAATGACATGGACTGATGAACTGATGAGACTTTTCCATATTGACAGATCATTGTAGCATTGAAAAGACATTCACAATATGGTTAACTTAATTTTGTCCCTGAATTTTTGCGCAAACAAGTAAATCAAATAAATAAGAATTGAGGCAGACAGAAGACGACAAAACAAACCCAAATATTTACTAAAGGTACTGTATTTACTAAAGGATGAGCCTATTAGTAATCGACATGTGTGCCAATGTGTTGGATTTAATACCAATGAAGCTACCAGATTTTATGACCTAAGTATTTACATTTTTCTTTAGTGTCGGTCTCATTTTAATGGAAGCTTGTTTCTGCCACAAAATAAAAAATAAAAACGATAATTGTGACTTCTTTTCGCAATTCGGACTTTTTTCCCTCACAATTTTGAGTTTACATCTTGCACAATTGTGAGAATTGCGTGATATAAAGTGGCAATTGCGAGTTATTTATCTCACAATTGTGAGTTCTCGTAGTTCTGACTTTATTACACACATTTGCACTCACAATTCTGAGAAATAAAGTTAGAATTGTGAGATGTAAACACAATTGTGAGATCGCAATTATCTTCAGAATGTTTATTCTGTGGCGGAACCATAGATTTGACTTTCAAATATTTCAAATATTTATGGGATCCTTTTTCATGTTGTAATGCAAATATAAGGAATAAACCACATTTAAAATGAAGGTAAATCAAAATGCGTAACCTTTCTGAAAATTTCAGGAGTGTACAGCTATTTATTAACAGTCATAAATTACCCGACTGCCACAATAGATGCTTCAGCAGCTAAATTGGTGTCTGGATTTGCCCAAATTTGCACGATTCAATACAGCACATGCATGTGAATAAATTAGACAATGACTATAACTGAACAATTAGATCTGAAAATAAAATAAACAAGATTCACAAAGACACATGTAGGCTTATTTTTGCTTTGAAAGATGCTAATATGGTCTAATTTGAGTGTGAGATTTTTGACATCTACATTTTAAATTAATTTCTTAGTTGTCTAACGACTGCTGTATTGTTTTAAATGAGAAACCACTTTGGCAGCAATGGTCATAAACCTCTACCTAAATGTAATACAAAAACAAACTATGGTTTGCTTCAAATGTGACTGGAGGTCACTGTCTAACATCATCAACCCAACAACAAGTCATTCTGCCTGGCTGTAGCTGTCATCGAGGGTGCGTTATCAGGTTATTACAGAGGTTTGTTTACATACCGGTAACAGCTCAGTAATGGCGTCGCCACAAGATGGCAGCCTAAACAAAACGCTCGTCGGATTCGTGTATTAAACAGCCCGCGATTTACGACTGTCGCGTTACAACTTTTATAATGTCGAGTGGGAAAACATGTTCCGTTATAAATTGTTTCAACAGTGGCAGTAAAATTTCAATTTGGAAGAGAAAACATTGTGAGCTACATAAAATACCCTGGGTCGACTGCCCCTGTCTGGTGCCATACGGTTTACACAGATTTCCTGGGCGAGTACAAGACGCGGACATTCGCCAGAAGTGGGTGAAAAATATCAACAGGCAGGGATGGGTTCCTAATAACAACAGCAGGGTAAGTTTTGGCTTGTATTGAATCCCATTTTCAAATTGTGACAATGTTAATGTGGGTAATCCACCTAATGTTATCTAGCTGGTCAACGTCAGCTTGCTACCTAGCTGTCTGTTAGCTGCTAACTTTAACATGGCTCAGATGTTGTTGGAAAGCTAGTCTGTCTTGTTAGTAACACGAAACACTGTTATTTGTCTAAAATATGGACAGTACTGTTAGATAGTAGCCTATCGTTGTGTACTGTTGTAGTGTGTGTGTGGGTGTGAGAGAGAGAGAGGGTGAGAGAGAGAAATTCTCCTTTGGGAAACCTTAAAGTATCTATCTAACGTTATCTATCTATGTTATTTACTATTCAAGGTCTGTGGGATACACTTCCCTGATGGCAGACCAACTAAAGAGCACCCATACCCAGTATTGCACATGGGATATGAAACTCATGCTGTAAGTTGATTTCTTTACCATATTCATATCTGAGGGACATTTGTGAGATGGGGGTATTGTAGCTGTATCTTGCAGGGAAGAGGGTGGGAATACTATTATATATACTATTATATGGGGTTATCCAGCTATGCTGGTAAAACTTTTGCTTCCTGACATCTGGTAGTAGTAGCCTAATCCTGACACAGTTTCCCTAAGGCCATATGTTCCGTTTACATATTTCACGTCATATGTGTTTGATTCAATCATTTTTTGCAGACTGCCATCATGTGCCTCAAGTTTCTTTGGTGTAGGACACTTAATCTCAAGGATGGTATCTTTGTCAACTACTCCATCTAGACTGGCACCAAGCCAGTTTTAATAAGACCCGTGGTCTCAACTGTCTGCCCTGACGATCCCTTCAAACCATTTTCTAGCTAAAGGCTCAGCTGATTGACCATATCTCGTAGCTGTGCATCCAGCAAACACAGCATTTAATTTTCTTTCGACCCAGTTGCTTGGGTCTGTTTTTTTAGGGCACGTCTGATGCCTCACTGCTGGTAATTCTAACTTTTCTTTGGTCCAGCCAAAATTTACAATCCTGGCCTTTTGATTTTGTTTCAATTTTCTCTCTCTCATCTTTCCCACATTCTGGTACCACATTCCTCCAAGTTGATTGGTTCCAGGCACACAATTGGTCTGTGCAGGCTGTACCTGTGAAGCCTCGAGACACAGCATTTTTCAGCATGTAAATTAGACCTGCGATACACTTCAGTTATTTGTACAGTATGAGTGTTGTTAATGGTCTGTGAAAAGTCTGTTATTGACACACTTCTCTTTTCTGATTGCTGTTATCAATTTCTCTATTTTTTTTTCTTGAAAGTTGTGAAAACACTATTGTGGAGTATATTTACAAAACAATATATTTAAAGTAATCTCTCATTCACCATTATATAAGTTCACCCAAGAATGACAACTCCTGCTTCTAAGAAACGCGGAACTCTCTCTTTTAGAATATTTTATTATACTTTCATAGGCTATACATTGTAAATGTGATTTTTTTTTTCAAGAACTTTATTGAACACTACACTTGTTAACAACCATGGTAAAAAATGTGAAATGTGTTGTGTTCCCGTCATTTTACTGACGACTGCTTTCTAAAAACACTTGTCCATGAAAGACGGGCAGTACCAAGTTTATTTGGACCAACTAAATCTGTAAGTATGATTAATAAGTGTTGAAATGCATATAGTTTTGTGTTTTATATTTCAGACTGGATCTTCTAACTGCTTAGAACGAATAATTATATTACATTAATCATCCAATAAACTCATAAGGGCTGAAGCAGTGATGCAATGTAGGAAGAACAGGGACCTGACTGTAATGATCCAGTCGATCGATAGGTGGCGGCAAAGTACTTGGTGTTGCGAACCGTTACAAATCAAAAAGAAAAAAAGCGCACTTCTTTTTTATCCCTACACATATCCCCCATACGCAATGTTTATTTCCTCGGTAGTGCTTTCACAAAAATGGCCCAGCAACGTGGTAGATGTTCTGTAATCTGTAGTTGGCTGTAGGAATGAGCATAAGAGTGTTCATTTACTTCCGTCATCTGCCATCTGTGCCACTGAAGATGCAGTGGATTAGTTTTATTTTTAAAGGAAATGCGCCCGAAAATGTTGGTAAATACTTATACGTTTGTGCTAACCATTTTACACCAGACTGCTTCGTAAACGAGGGCCAGTAACTTATAAGGCAGGATTTGCATTAAAGTTATTAATTAAGGATGGTCCAACTGTCCGTTATCCAACTGCATATCCAGAATACCTAAGTATCGAGATTTTGTTTACTTGTCCACGTCGTCTTTCTGATTGCAATAATTCATAAATGAGCATGACGCAATATAACCTCTCAAAAAAGTAATACTACATGATAATGTCTCGTTATAGCTCATGTCATATCCAGCGTCATGTGTTAGTTGGGATTGCAGTTATGTGTGTTGCTCAGCTCATCCGTCGTTACGAAACGCCTGTAACACATTACTACATACATTCGTCAACTACGCATGTAGAAACGTCTTCTGCCGGAGTTTTCCTCCTTCAGTGTCCGACTCTTCTTCATAGAGCTGCTGAACTCCAGTATTTACAGTAGCAGCAGAGCAGTGACTGAAAGGGGTGGGGAGCAGAGCAGCAGCTCATTTGCATTTGACGTGCACGACAAATGTCTCCCAAAAGAGGGAAGCTGTTGTGTACTGTTTTTATTTGTTGCTGGAAGAGTTGTTGTTTCGTGTTGTCGACATGTCGAGAAGACGCTGTTTTCTGCGCTGCGAAATCAAATCTACGTTGCATGGACTTCCAAAGGATGAGGGTGTGAAGAAGCAGTGGTTACAATTCATTTTTACAATGATACCACAGCAGTTTAACTCCAACCTTTTGTTGTGTTCCCGACATTTTACTGACGACTGCTTTTCAAATCTTTCCGAGGTCAATGCGGGATTTGCAAAACGTTTATTCATTAAAGATGGGAAAGTACCCACATTATTTGGGCCTTCTTGCACTTCGACATGTAAAGGATCACAGCCTGTAAGTATGATTTTGTAGCCTATATTTTGTACGGATTGCTTAGAAGGCGAGGTTTTGTGTTTTACACCCAGTGCACTGCTGAGGACCCTGCTAACCTGCTATCTATAACCATAACCTGCTATCTCATGTTATTGTCGTGAAATAGTTCCGCTAAATCAGTGATTCGAACAGTACCGATGGGGACACCTCCGGAACTGAAATTCAAAATGCTATGGCCATCTGACCAACCCGAGAAGAACGGAGGGGAAGTCCGTGCAGGGTTGCCAGGTTCGCAAACACTAGCCCCCTTGCTATTAAAAACCCTACTCAAAACACTTTAGGGATGTGATTGTGATACCATTTGTTTACCTTTCGATCGTTTGATATAAGATGACTTTGCACACATCATGTAAATTGCTCAACTCAAACTTCCTTGTTAATCTGAAACCATTAGTATATTACTGAAACGAACAATTTTCTACTTCTACGTCACTGCGTCTTAAGCCCCGCCCAAGAGACGCAAACACAGCACAAAACGACCGAGATGCCTCTGAGGATTTCAAGACGTTGTGCAGTGTTGAGTTGTGGAAAAGCGCAATCTTTGCATGGCCTTCCGCGTGATCCTAACATTAGTAAAGCGTGGATTAACTTTATTTTTAACGAGGTTCCAGATCGCGTCAATAAGACACTGTTTGTCTGTTCGCTTCATTTTACCGCGGATTCGTTTATAAACAAGCCGCAGTTCGACGCAGGCTTTTCAGAGAGACTGAAAATAAAAGATGATGCAGTGCCGACTATACTGACTCCGACCGTAATCTCGCAACACACACGTGTGAGTAACAAAACTTTGTTATTGTTTTTTTTATTTTTACCAAGCGTCACTATTGCTTTGTTACAGATCGTTTGATATGAGTAAGTTAGTACGTTTTCACCAGTGACCTAACGTTATCCGTTTCCATAGGCGCACATATTGATTTATAGTCTTTCAGTATATTTAAACGCGTATGGGTGTTATACGTTTTTCACTTTTAACTAGTTTTTCCACTATTAATATAAGAGCAGCGCGACAAACGATGAAACATTCATTCATCATTCGTTTACACTAAACACCATTTGTGTCCCTTTGTGAGTTTGTGAACTGTGGTAACTCAAAACAAAACGTGCTTCTCAAATAGCGTTCTTATGCATTATTAGTCTATGACATAGCGAAGTGTTCACATCGATAATTTCAAACAGAAAAGTACACTTTAAATACGCGTATCACGGATTTAATTAACCGAAAAAACGTGAATTGTTTGGAATGCACTCATCTGTCGCAGCTTTAATTACGTAGAAGAAGGGGAGGAGCTAGTATCAGACTCAATGCAGAATGCCAAAACTTTAAAAGGGTCATGAACTGAGCAATCAAATGTTCCTTGAGCTTTTGATATATAAAACGTAATCGTAATATAAGAATATCCTGCTGAAAAGTTCCGTAGTCAAATAAAAGCTTTTACAGCTGCCTCATCAAACGAGGGATCTGCAAATTGGCCTACCTGTGACGTCAGAGAACAGTGAAAGACCGCCTCAACAGGAGACCAACGCCTAATTTCATAGCCCCGCCCACCGATTTGCTCATTACATGTATTTGGTAAATAACATAAGGCCTATGTGTTGTTAAACCAGCAGATCTAGCTACCAAGCAATAAAAATGCCGCAGAAACTTACAAAATATTGTGCAGTGCCGAGCTGTGGAAGAACACAATCGCTGCATAAGCTTCCTTCGAATTCCAGGTTTAGGAATAAGTGGTTGAACTTTATTTTTAATGAAGTTCCAGCTCAAGTGGGTAAGACATTGCGCATTTGTTCGCTTCATTTCACCACGGATTCTTTTGCAAACAAGACACAAGTCGAGGCTGGATTTGCAGACAGAATGAGATTAAAAAACGATGCTGTGCCTTCTATATTGGATCCGAAAGGAATGGCGCAATACATTAATGTGAGTAAAAAAGTTTTTTTTATATGTGCTAGTATTTGCATTGTTACAGATCGTTTGATAATAATTATGTAAAGTTGACGGGTCGAACATTGTATGGGTGAATCATTCCGGTTGCCATTTTTCCACATTGGAAGTTTTCGAAACAATTCCCCACGCAAACTGACAGGGGAGTCGAAACTCATCATAATATGTTAAACTGTTATCCAATCATAGCAGTCGGTGTTTACTTCCAAGTCTTCAATGCGGCACTGCGGGCACACCCATAAAACCATTTCCGGTGCTACGGGCAAAACCAGGGTAGAAAATAGCCTATTGCTTATTCATTATGATGTTTTTGAAAAACCACGTGAATTTCATAAGTTGATCTCAGACAACAGTATAACAATTTTTAAAAGGGAAGTTCATGACTCTTTTAAAATTCATCCATGACACGGCTGATTGCATAATGTGTATGAAGGTAATATGATGCATCGCATGTGCAGGGTAAGATTTGTGAAAGTGTTCATAAGTTTGCGAGCGTGCAAGATGTATATGCAAGGGAAGATTTGTAAAGGTAAGAAAAAATATTTGCAGCATTTTACTATTCGTAAGAGTAATTCATGTAATGTGAAGCTGCAGCATCATGCTAATGCAACATAAATGGGATCTGTATTCCTCTGACTTACATTTCATTCCGCACTTACACTTTTGGCACGTTTTTTGCACGCGGCCAAAAGCATTGCATGTTTTTTACATACGGCCAAAATCATTGCATGCCTGTGAACCGCGATCTGCAAGCAAAAACAAGAGTTAGGAACTACAAAACAGATGGATTGTGTAAAACTAACTAACCTTTGTGTAAAAAAACTTAAACTGATGTAAATATCTGAATAACTTGTGTGCATGGGGCTAAAAAGTTCCTGAAATAACCCGATTTGTACAGTTGTGTCTGTCTTTTAGCTGCGCTTGCAGTTTTGGCATGATTGTTTTTTGTCATGATTCGCGAAGAGGAGGGCGGGTCCACCTTCATGTAGCCAATCAAATGAGCTTCTCGCTGTCTCTCGTTTTACTTCTTTCTGATTGGTTCGATAAACACCCCAGTCGCCAAAATATATCTTTGTCTTCATTTGGTTCAGCGCTCTCGCTGCCGAAATGGTACTTTTAATGCACACATACATGTTAAGGAAATAAATAAATGATGATTTCTTTATAAGCTGAATAACAGTGACATGCTACAATTATTTTTTTTTTCTTACACTTGTAAGGCGATTTACACCTTTACAAATCTTCTCTTGCGCATGCATGCAGATTTAATGTACACTAACAAATTTATGTACACTTTCACAAATCTTACCCTGTGTATTCGATTCTTTGTGGCATCATATTACCTTCATAAATGTGTATATAGTGCGTCATTTGGAACACAAAAAATATAACTACTTTAACTTTATTTGCTCCAATAGACCTTATTCAGAGCAGAGCCGTGAGGGGCGGAGGTTACACGTTATTTTCTTTAGATATAAGCTATATTCACATGGATTTAGATATTTAACAATAATTTTAAATAGACTCTATATAATGAGCAATATTATAAATCATGTTTAAAGTTAATGGATACAAACCTAGTTCATTGTTAGGTTAACATTACAAATTATATTTAATTTAAAAGAAATGGTAATAATAAATGTGTAACCAACCATGTTGTGAAAGTGTTTTCCATTTGACTGTATTTTGTGGTGATGTGTTCATGTCATTACAAATAATACTTAAAGGGGACCTATTATGCAAAATTCACTTTTATAAGGTGTTTGCACACCAAATGTGTGTTCATGGCTATGTCAGCCTATAATGGTAAAAATCCACTCTTTTTTTTTTTTTAAATCCTCTAAATCAAAAGCAGTCTCTTCAAACGAGCTGATTCAGACGGCGACGTCATCGTAGAGAGAAGAACCACAGCCGGTGACAATCTGCCCTATTAGCATAGGCTTGAGAAGCACAGAGGCAACTGGAGTTGCACAATGTCTGCGACAAAGAGGCATTACAAGTGTTGTGTTTTGGGATGTACCAGTGGAGATAAGAGTTTCCATATACTACCACAATCTGAGTCACTGAGGATGTCCTGGTTAAATTTCATTTTCAAAGGAAATATCCCAAAGAACTTTGCTAAGATCTTATACGTTTGCTCCAATCATTTTGCGCCCGAATGCTTCACCAACAAGGGTTTTGTCAACGCTGGATTTTCAAAAAGGTTGATTCTGAAAGAGGGGTCAATACCAACGATTCGTGCGCAAACTTCAGATCCAGACAAAGTAAGTGTCGTACGTCATCTGTTGTGAGTCCTTCCTAATTTCATTTCTTAAAGAGCTTGTTGGCACTCTGTGTGGCTAACTTTGATAAATTCACCATTGTCTCTGCCTGTTTTCACTGATACTGCCCCTGTTGCCGGTCTGCTGAAACTCCGCCCTCTTCTTGAAAGGGGGCCGGGAGCCCCAGCTCGCTTGGCATTTAAGGGGATGTAAATGAATGAATAAATGATCTGTGTGGTATTTTGAGCTAAAACTTCATAGACTCTCTTGGGTTATCCCAAACGGACTTTACATCTTGTAAAAATAGGGATAATAAGTCCCACACTCTGGTAACGCCTCGGTGTATAAACACCTTATAAAAGTGAATTTTGCATAATTGGTCCTTTGTAAAAAAAATTAATATTAATAAATGTTACTATGTTGTAAAGTTTTTAATTTGACTATGTTGTGATATTTATGTTCATGTCATTACAAATGATACTTGGATACAGAGTGTGACTCAAGTGTTGACCATGTCAAATGTGTTTAAATTTAACATAAACATGTATTATAAAGCTCTTTGAAGGAGTGAAACTGTCATTTTTCTATATTAAAACCAATACTGCATTTTAAAAGTAGCCTAAATAATCATTCAAAAAGTGTGAATGACTCATAAAACGTTATATACAAATAAACATAAAACAAAATAGCTGGTTTCACAAACAAGGCTTAAATCTAGTCTTCGACTAAAACGCATGTTTGAGCTGTTTTAACTGAACGCATCTTGCACTAGCATATCTTAAAACATGCTAATGCCATTTTGTCTCAAGATGCACACGAAAATGTTTTTTTTTAAGGCACGCTTATAAAAACTACTTCAATGCCCTGATTGTACTAAGGCCTAATCCAACTAAGGCCTAATCCTGACTTGCTCTAAGCATTTTCTGTCAAACAGGGCCAAAAAACGGATGATATTCACCGTTGTATTAGATCTCAGTCGTCATTGAAAGCAAAATTAATGATTCATTTCATTTTAATATCTCTACTTTAATAAATAAAGAAAAAAACTGAGCGCTCGTTTGTTTGACGTGTAGTCATTATGTAAATGACTAAAAATGCATTTACTTGTGTCTTACTGGATTTCATACAGATAAAAGCACATTTTACTTGCGCAAGGCTTTGCATTAAAAATGTAATTTGAATTTCGAATGATTTAAAAACTAAATTTGACAGTAAGTGGCCATACTGCTGTCTCTTTAATGGCTATTTTTAACATCATGAACATGAAAGAAATATCACAGTCAAATGGGAATTCACAATACTGTTACAAAATGTTTCTATTATCCAATAATATGATTATTTATAAAAGACAGCTGTTGCTCATTGTAGGCTACATCATGATATCTTCTGTATGTATGAACAATGAACATGTATGACTTTGTTTTTAAAGTATTGTTAAAAATTGTAGATCTCGACCCGAGTCGTGCTTACTAAGCATGGTTGCTATATTACTACAGTTAATTCATGGTACATTATTAATTATTTTTTTTTTATATATATAAAGGTATCATTTATTAATAAGGATTACAGATTGTTATCAATGTTTTAACAACTCTTTATTTTATTATAATACTTGTCATGTCTAGGTTTGTTATGAATATGCGGTTTCATGATCTAAGGGAAGCACTGCTCCCTCTTTAAACACGTACTATAGTGGAAGTGTGAATGGCATCTGTGAATTTTGACCTGACTGAATGGCAGTTTTGGCAACCAGAGTTAGTTTTCTATAACAAGCATAGTATAAAGTGCTATGTATAATGTAACTGAAAATGCCGTTTTTCAACCAATCATTTTATGTATTTTGGTTTGTTGTTTATTTTATAATTAGTTATAGATGCATGTGATAATCTTGGAATAGACATTTCACTAACTCTTTGTTTTCCCTTTAAAATTCAACAGCAAACATCTGCAGCGCCTTCTCTTTTGATCCTCACTTCTGCTGTGGATCGCAAGAAAATTACAACAAATGATGTGGTGGACATTACAGCCAGTAGTGATGAAGATAGTGATATTTGTGACCTGGACAGTGTGGCCAGCAGTGTGGACAGCACAGCAGAGGAAATGTTTATGGATGGTCTTGACCCTGTTCTTGATCGGTGAGTTTTTTTTAATGACGTAATTGTTTGGCTTGGCATTAACTTCACAATTTCATTTCACAAGATTGTATTTTCAATATTGATTCATTTGGATAGTGCAGTAGGCGCATGAAAACAAGAAAAACACTACTTTATTTGTTCACTTTTACGTACACTTCAGAACACAGAACAACGCCACCTGGTGGCAAAACACAAGACATACTAACCTCATAGACCATCAGCAATGCATTTTTTTTTTCCCAATGTATTTTTTTATTTATTTATTTTTGAGCTAACTAATTCAAGGTTGTAAACTGTTTATACTTTCAACGTTGGTTGTCTCACAACGAAGGGGGAAAAAACTACATCTGAAATAGCAGTGTTATTATTTATGAGAGATGACAGCGTATAACCTTTGTTGGTTTTATAATTGGTCCGGAATGTTAAGTCATCCAACAGTTTCGTCTTAGGATAGAATGCAAATAAATACATCTCATGGCAGTCAGATGAGCTTGCTAGATTGTAATAGTCTACACACTGTCAAATTTAGATTGTGTGCAGTGTGGCTTACATTCAAACACTTGGTATAAGTGCAAAGTTTATAGTGCATCATTTGGGACACAACTGTGAAGTGTAGGCTATGAATTTTATAAGGTTATTTTGTCATGCAAATGTTGAATCTGATAGCCCCTGTAATAGTTGAGTGCTTAAAATGTCCAGTATTTCACTTTTTTTCAGGTAAGTGCATCATCCGGATATTTAACATGCACTTTTTTAATGTAAACGTGCTATTTATATTTATAGAATAGTGCATAAGTATGCAAATTGGAATGCAGTTAGAGTCTGTGTAAACGTTACAAGAATTTCAGAAAAACTAATGTTTCTGGTATTCTAGGTAGTGTTGTGTTATGGTTGGACTACTGCTCATCTCATCAGTCGACATGTTTTTCTTGGCCTTTGAAAGCATTTGCTTGTCAACAAATGCACATGTACAGCTATTTACTGTAATTACAACAGTGAATTCCAAACCCTTTTGTACATTGCTAATCTTATTCTGCTTTCTTGTGTCATGCAATAGACCTTCATCTGACCTTTACCCACCAGAGGAGGACTGTGGTTCAGATGACAGCCTACAGCAGAGAAAGAGACCCCGTCTGTCCTTCACATCATCTACTGCTGATAGGGATGGCAGGGAGAGTGAAAATAATGTCTCTGCTATATCAACAGAAAGATGGCACAGCTCAGACGAAGCAGATGTTAAGCCACCTCATATAAACTTCAAACCCGCCCAAGAACCTGGGCCTCAGATTTTGCTGAATAGGTGCAGCAGTCCTCTGCAGTTTTTTCTACTGTTTTTCCCAAAAACAACTTTGCAGACCATTGTAGGGCACACAAATGACTATGGAGCCAAGCGCCAAAAGAGAAACGGCAAGGGCTGGGAAAATATTTATCTTAACGATTTGAAGTCGTACATAGCCCTGGTCATTTACATGAGTATGTTCAAGTGCTCTTCGCTGACTGACTATTGGAGTGTTTCCCAGCACTTCAGTCTGTCCTTTCCTGCAAAAGTCATGTCTTACCAGAAATTTCTGTCAATCTCTAAAGCTCTTCATCTAAGCGACAGCAGGGAGGATGAGAAGAACCGCGTTAGGAGGGGAACATCAGCCTTTGAACGCTTGGGTAAAATTCAACCCCTGTATCAAGTCGTTAGGGAGGCTTGCAAGACATTTTTTCATCCTTTTCAGAGAATCACCATTGTTGAAAGAATGGTGACATCGCAGCCTAGAACTGGACTCAAGCGATGCTTGAAAAATGAATCTCCAAACATGGGGTACAAACTCTTTGCACTGACAGACTGCACCTCTGGCTATACGTGGGACTTCTTTATCTATGAGGGGAAGTCATGTTCTTCACAGAGCGAGGGCTTGAGTTATGAGTCCGTTATGGCATTGGTGGATGAAAATATGTTGGGCTCTGGGTACAAACTGTTCGTAGACAAATTTTACACCAGCGCCACACTCTTCAGTGACCTCTTGTGTAAAAAGGTCTGGGCTTGTGGCCCTGTATGGGCAAACAGGGCAGGTTTCCCAAAAACAACGGTGAACAGACTGTCAAGGACCGCCCCGCGCGGCACCATGCGTTGGATTAGAACTGATAAGCTGCTGTTTGTTGAGTGGAAAGACTTGCAGCAAGTGCAGATGTGCTCCACCTTCCATAAAGCCTATGAAGGAGATACTATGCAGAGGAAGGTGAAGGGTGACGCTCAACCGACCCATGTGGAGGTCCCCGTTCCAGCTGTGGTGTTGGACTACAAGAAGTAAGTACATTTTATTCCAAGATGTTCCTTGTCCATCTTATTGTACCTGTGCATTCAGTCTTCAATGCGTTTACTATGGAAGCTCGTTTTCACCACAGAGAAAACAAATTTATATCACAATCCTGAATTATTATTATTTTTTTGCATTTCCAAGTTCTCTCAATTTGGACTTATGCGATTCTGAGAAAAAGTCTGGCGGAAACAGACAAGGAAAATAATTGCGAGATGTAAAAAGAGAAATTGTGTGTGTGAAGTCTTAATTGTGAGATAAAACAAGCAGAAATAAACTTCCATAGTTTACTCTCTTTATCTGTGTGGAGTTTGAAATATGAATTTTATATTTCCACTTAGGACCATGGAGGCAGTGGATCTATCTAATTGCATTACTGGACATTACAGAGCTCTACATAAACCGAAGAAGTGGTATCAATGTGTGTTTTATCACTTTTTGGACATCACTGTTGAGAATGCATTCATCATGCAGGAACTAATGGCTAAGAGAAAGAACATGAAGCCTTTGACTCGAAAGGCATTCTTGGAGGTGCTTATTTTAGAGCTTACAGAGATCGGTCCTCAGGATCCAGCACTAGTTTTCTCAGCTCGCTCTTCCTCAGTGGTTCCTGCTTTCCACAAGCCGAAGCACATCACACCGGACAACATTTGTGGACGGAAGTGCAGGCTTTGCAACCAGACAACTCCTGTCATGTGTGTGACGTGTGATGCGTTGTTGTGCTTTCAGCCTGAGAGGGACTGTTTCAATGATTGGCATGAAAAACAAGGCTTTTGATTTATGGCTTCAGTGAATGTTACCATGTTACGGGTCATGAGGGCCTAAATGTGTTTTGTTTTGTTACATTTTGTAAAGGAGGTGGAAAGTTTGACTTCACATATGACAGCTGATGCTAAAATATATCTAATAAAACATACTAGAAATGGACTTATGACTTTGTTGCATGAGTTTTATCAACATGCATATGAAATGGGCTTGGTTTAATTAAAATGTAATGTTTGCAAATTAGTTTATAAATGGGCTAAATCCAGGCTTCAAGAGACATTAGACCTGAGACAAGAGAAGGGACCCATTCAGACCTGATTCGTTTTTCTCCCTCCACTAATTTAAAACAATTCTTTATAATTGAAATTTGCTCTTTCAGTGTTAAAAATAATTGTAAAAAAAGTCAACTCACTTTTATCAGATTTTTTACATGTCCATTGCAATGGAAATCATTACTGAAGCAACATAAGATCCTCCCATTTAACCATACATGTGAACTATAGTGTTTTAACAACATATGTGAACTATTGTTGACAATGAGCAATGCAATCAGAATGTAGATAAAGTAAGATGATGGGATGGTGTCTCAAAAAATCATTGTTTGTTTGTGCACTTGATTATGATTGTGTGCATATAATAGCAAGGTGTGTGTGCTGCTGTATATTCACTCATTTTATATTCACTGTTGCGGTTTTGCCACTAAAACAAATCTGAATGAATGTTTATGGTCACAACATTAAATTTCCAACCGTAAATGTATATTCTTTTTGTGAGTGAATGCAGCATGGACTACTTTAAAGGTGATTTTCTCAGTGTTTTGATATTTTTGCACCCTCAGATTCCAGATTTTCAAATATTGTCCTTTCCTAGCAAATCATACATCAATGGAAAGCTTATTCATTCAGTTTTAAGATGATGTATAAATCTTTTTTTTTTTTTTAAATTTACCCATCTGATGTACCCAGGGTCACATACTATATATATATATATATATATATATATATATATATATATATATATATATATATATATGAAGAGTTCAGATGCAAAAGCCTCTAAATGCCATTTGAAATTTTCTTCTTTAATGATGATTTTTATCAAACTTGTATATTTAAGATTAGTAATTTCACTTAAATAACAATTAATAGGTAATTATCATTGCCATTTAAGTGAAATCACTGAACTTAAATATAAAAGCTTGATAAAAATGATCATTCTAGAAGAAAATTTCAAATGGCACTTAGAGGCTTTTGCATCTAACGTATACGTCACAGCTTGAAAGGACCAAAATGCATGCGCAGAAAGGAGGCTTGTCACTGGCAGGCAGTCCGTGAGCACTGAGCAGCAGTTGGAGTGTTTGTTTGCATTATGTCTTGGGGACGCTGCGAGTTCCGATGCGAAAGCAAAACCCATTTGTTTGGCCTTCCAAGGACGGATGGAATTAGGGATCAATGGTTACAATTTATTTATAACGCTGTTCCTCAGCGCTACAACCCAAAGGTTCGCTTGTGTTCTGCCCATTTTACAAAGGACAGCTTCCTAAACCTGGGAGAATACAACGCCGGCTACACACAAAGGCTACTCCTGAAAAATGGAGCAGTTCCCACTTTGGTCAGACAGTATGGCGCCTCTTCATCAAAACTTGTAAGTATGTTTGCTTATTTGTTGGAGCTATTGACTATCCAAACGTAACATTCATACCCCGTGTGGCCATTTGTCAGTGGCACTTGTATGATACGTAGGGGCTGCATAACAGAAACATTGACTTTCAAAAAGTTGTGTTATGTGAAATTACCATGGTTACTTACGAAACAGGATATGATGTTTGAGTTTGAACCTTTCTTTCCTTGGACATGTGCTCTTTTAAAGTCTTCTGTGGCGAAAACCAAGCTGTTGTTTATGTGACCTCAAGACAAACGCAGTTAAAACTTAAAGGGGTGGTCAAACGATTTCACTTTTCTAACTTTAGCTAGTGTGTAATGCTGTTTTAAGCATAACAACATTTGCAAAGTTATAACGCTCAAAGTTCAAAGCAAAGGGAGAAATGTGCTAGGGACTACGACAGGGTGGCTGACATCACTAACCCAATATTTAACTTGCATAAACCCCTCCTCCGAGAATACTAAACAAGCGTGGCGACTCTGGCGAGGCCAAGGCCATTTTATATTGCTTCGGAAAAGAGTTGTTGTGGGATAGTAGGCTCGCTTGTTGTTGCCGCCGCAATGCCGTCGAAACGCTGTTATTTTCATCCGGATTCCAGGTCCGCTGTGTTCAGCCTTCCTAGGGACTGTGGAGTTAGGGATCAGTGGTTACATTTTATTTTTAACTCTGTCCCTAATAAGTATCAACCAAATCTCGCTCTCTGTGCTTCACATTTTACGGAGGAAAGCTTCCACAATCTTTGCGAGTTCAATGCTGGATTCGCACAAAGGCTTGTCCTGAAAGATGGAGCAGTTCCAACTTTAAGAAGAGAAGCTGTTGTTAACTGGCCAAAACGTGTAAGTATGATTTATTTTTCGTCGACGTGTTTTCCTGTAATGGAATTGTTAGTCTAATTGTAACGCTAGCAAGGAAGTAAACAAATGACAACCAACGCTGTTTGGCTCAGCAAAGTTTGTATGCTGCTCATAGGCCTAGTTTACGTTATCCGACAAACGCCTCCTTTTTTTTTAATCTCAAAAGAGCTTGGAATTAGCGTAAATTATTATTTTATTAGAGCTCCTACTGTTTATCTATGCTTGTATATCTATAAGCATGCTAAACATGGTTCTGTGTTTGATTTGGCTACTGTAGTAAAGCCAATGTTTAGTGTTCATTTTGGGTTATTAGTTCAGGCGACATTTACATCTAATTTTAAATTAGATTTTTTGCACATTTACTACATGTAGCCTACACCTAATAAAATAGATTTTTTAATAAAAAAAATTCTTGAATACATGTTTGTTAATACTAATAGACAAACACTTGTTTTCTTTTATAAATTAAAAAGCAACATGAATAATTAGTACAATTAAATAACAGCGTATCTAAAAAGTAATGAGACAACAACAACAAAACATTCTGAAACAGCCGTTCTTGAACAGGTTCTGCTCGATCATCTTCACTAACATTGTCTGGGTCCGATTCAGGCTCAAATTGGTATGGTTTTATTTGAAGCCATTGTTTATTATAACCATGTAATCAGATCATGAGGATCACATCATTTAGAAATACCAAGGGTTCACTCTAAAGCCCAGAACACACCAAGCCGAGGGTCGGCCGTCGGGCAGTTTTTGTGCGTCGGCCGACTGTTTCCTCGGTGTGTTCCGCGCCGTCGGCTGAAAATAGTCCTCGTCTGCTTTGTTTTGCCCGATTCGACTTGTTGAATCGGTATCGGGCCGTCGGGGAAAGAGAGAACTCTGATTGGCTGTTCAGCTTTAATGAAAAAGACAGTGCACGAGAATAAATGCAAAACAGCAAGCAAAGAAGTCAAAACAGTAAAGATAGAAGGCTGTTCTTATGTCAAGTCATCTTACCTGAGTGTTCCTTGGCGAATATTTCAATATTAACATGAGCGGAGTGGAATAAAGAAAGCGTTTAGCAGGATTGATATTCAAAACGGTAAGCACGCACTGCTTTGTTTATGGTATGTGTATCTGCAAGCCTGCTTCAACCAGACTCTAGTTAATTTCATTTCCACATAGAGTCTGGAACTGCAGCATTAAGAAACGTTTCCTTCCTTGTAGGCGGGTTCACTATTAAAGTTCAAATCTATTGGATCTGCCCAAAGTCACTCACGATCTGCCATAGCCAATCGCTAACGGGGTGTTGTGAGTGACGTATGTCACGCGCCGAAATGGCTGGAAACAACAAGTCCGAATGATCAGAGGATCATGTTTACAATAGGATTTCAGTCAACGAGCGCTGCAGGTTTTGTTAATCTAGGAACAATTATTAATCCGAAATGTATATTTTACACGAAGGACAGTGATATATTCATTCAACGGTGTTAGCTGTGTCTAATCATTACAAATACGCTGCTGTTGTCGTTTTCTGATCTGCCGCAAATGCTGTAGCAGCTACAGTGAATGATCACCCAGATAGCAAACTGACATTGAATCAACGTGGAAATATGACATCAAAACAACGTTGATCTGACATTGTTTTGCTCATCGAATTAACTTTGAACCAACGTCAGACGCGTCATTCTTTCAAAACTAACGGAAAATCAACGCGTTGTTTCAACGTTATGAAAGCAAACCAATTTTCGATTTTCATTTAGCCTTGAAGAATGCCGCATCTGACGTTGGTTCAACAGTAATTCGATGAGCAAAATCAACGTTGTTTCAATGTCATGAGAGACGTTGTTTCCACGTTGATTCTATGTCAGTTTGCTATCTGGGCAGTCTGTCTCTATCTGCAGATGTGTAATAAACAACAATTTTTCATATTACGTCTTATTGTTTCTTAATTACCTTAATTGTGGTCTTCAAAGTATGTGTTTGTACATTTTTATGTGGCATTTATTTTTTTTAGTAAAACAAATCAACCATTGCCATCTAAAACTGAAAATCAAATATCTTCAAAGTATGGTTTTTCACATTTTTATTTATGACAATTATTTAAAAAAAAATCACAACCAATTTGTATGATTTACAACATGTAAAACTGACACACCAACCTCCTGCACGAGTGCACAAGGGCTCAAAATGTTCTATTCATCACAAGAATCAGTAAATTTACAGTTGGGAATATGAGCGACTGACATGACTCCTGAGAGGATCTTTAACAATAGTTTAGCAGCCAGGACTCGGGGCTTCCGAACACCAGGCTAAACCGTCCGTCGGTCATCGTGCACGAGCTGCCCAGCACAAACTTCCAAACTTTCTGCCTCCTTCACTTGGTCCTCAGTTGTGCAACAAGAGGTGAGACGATAACAATCCGGCTTTAAATTCTGTATATTCGGCAGTTTCTTTTCCAACAACGGACCGAATAGCTTTTCTCACGTCTTTCTCCGCTGCCATTATTACTGAACTCAAACTGACGCGCTTACATCAACGTCATCTTTCTCAGCCACTCCCTCTGTTCGCTGATTGGTCCTACAAAAAATTGATTTCTGGAAACCTAAGGATATGGAGCGATCCCAGACGTAGTACAGAAGTAAAATGAAATTGAGCGGAAGG